ACAAATGTACAGTGAGAGCCGCTGTGCTTTGAATACAATTGATCTGGTCAGATCACTTGTATCAAATCGAGCGGCGGCAATCGGGCCCCTCCCCCCGCCATGGTTTTCGGGTCCCCCGCTCCTCTGGGGGACCCGTGACCACGGGATAGGAGCTCACCATAAAGCCCCTAGAGCAGACAAAGAACGTCCGTTCTTCGTCTGCTCTGTGTGATCACTGAGACCGTGGCGCTGTAATCACATCGCCACCTGTATTAGCGTCACTTACTGCAGCTTCTGTCACAGAAACTGACTGCGTCCTATGTACCGGTGCGCCTTTTTATTGAGTGCAAAATACGGTATATGAAAGCAACAGATGGTGTATATGGAACCCTGCTCTGCATGTAAGACTTTATAACCAATTTCTTTTGTTAAGCTAATAAAGGGCACATATCTGTAATATCACCGAAATACAATGGCAGTTTGATTTTTGCTTTCAGAAAGAAATCCGGAGCTCTCTTGTACTATCTATGTTACAACAAATGTTAATGGAAGACAAAGCCGATATGGTGAGAGAAGCTGTGATTAAAAGCCTCGGCATTATTATGGGGTACATTGATGATCCTGACAAATATCAACAGGTGAGATTACCGTGACATTTTCTTACACAATCCAAGACCTAACTTTCATGTTGGTTAGAGAGAGGAAATTGTTAATACTTATCTCGGCCTTTTACTGCTGACTATGTCCCTGTCAAGGAGAGGTCCCCTCACTTTCAGGCCAGAACTCTTATTTATGGAGCTAGTATTGTCATATGTATAGACCAATGTTTCATGTACACGCAGGACCCTTTTGCTAAGGTCAGATGAATGAGAAAGGGGGTCTACAGGTCTCTCCAAAATGAGGATCTGTGCACATGACATGCTTTCTGAATAAACACAGAACGTTACATTGGAGTGCTGGCCTTTTCTTCAATTGATCTTTCCAGTGGGGATATAAACAACCCATCTACACTCTAGTTTGAATAAAAAAAATGTTTTTGTCTTCTTTCTATAACTGATTTAGGGGTTTGAGCTCCTGCTGACAGCCTTAGGTGACCCATCAGAAAGAGTGGTGAGTGCCACTCACCAGGTGTTCTTACCAGCCTATGCTGCATGGACTATGGAACTGGGCAATCTCCAGTCTCATCTTATTCCCACTCTTCTCACCAAGATTGAAAAACTCCTCAGGGTAAGTTCAGTTGGCAAGATATGGTAAATATTTAATAACAAAAAAATGCATGCGCAAGCTCAAAAGCAATTACAGCGGCAGGTTGGTTATAACTAGGAAGTATTAAATCATAACTGTGTTTTGTTTGCCATTATATGACTTCTTTTCTCTCAATCTCAGGAAGGAGAACATGGGCTGGACGAACATAAACTGCACATGTATCTTTCTGCCTTGCAGTCCCTTATCCCTTCCCTCTTTGCTATCGTATTACAAAACGCACCATTTACAAGGAAAGCCAAGCTTCAGGGAGAAATACCCCAGATAGAAGGTATGAAAAGGTCATGGCTTTGTTTGAACACATTACTGTGTTTAGCTTGTTCTATTCGTGCCCTGGAGATGTCCATGTGTGCATTTCTTGGCAGTCAAAGAATTATTCCCGTTCGTCTCCCATTTGTCTCTTGTTGCATACCATATATTAGTGGTTATAAAGCAGTGGTGGTTTATTCACACACAAACACTTTGATTTGATTTTTCCAACTTCTATTACAGTCTGTCTACTTGTTCTTTAAATAGATCTGCTGGCTGTGTGATTTTCCTGCATCTGACTCAGTTGTCCCAACATGTGAGACTGTGTAATATCCTATGCCACAGAGTGCTGCTTTCTTATGGTTTTCACATTTAGTTTTATTTCTCCTTTTTGTTAGTGTGTATATGTATTTGAAATGAAAATGATTATACATTTCAACACCATAAAGGAGGGAATTAATGTGGATTCTGGTTTCCAGACACACTACCAGAACTTTTTATGAATATACAGTACATCATAATGCCCTATGTATGTCTTACATCTTTGTGTTAAGGTGTTTATTGGCCATCCTATGTCTATTTGTTCTGGCCTTTTGGTTATCGGAATGCACTTTTTATTCCAAGGGTCAACATTTATGATACCCCACTCACCCTCCCCCCTTCTCTAACAACTTTCTCCTGCTTTAAGTGGTAAACTTTGTCATGTTGATTAGTATTGCTTCTGACCTGAAGAAGAGAGGTTAAAGGAGAATTATGAGGCGAGTGCTTTTCACTCAGCCTCATAATCTGAGCCGACCTGTGACAATTAAACTGTCACAGTTCGGCTCAGTGGATCGGGAAGTGAGCAAAAACATTCGCTCTCTTCTCGATCTGTCACTGCAGAGAGCCTTGACAGGGGAGTGACTGGATTCTCCCCTCCCCTGTCCAATCCTCCAGTGCTGACTGGCGGAACGGACAGGGGAGGGGGTGGGTACAGCTGGCTCTGTCTTTAGATAGGCACGGCCAGCTGTCACTCACGCAGCTGGGCGGGTCCAGACATAATTGTCGGGATCCGTTTAAGCTGCGGCGTCTCAGTATACCACGAGCTGCAGCTCGCAGTATACTGAGCTTTGGGTAACGGGAGGACACTAATTTGTGTCCTCCCGTTACCCTTCGGAGAACTATGGGGAAAAGCCCTAACCGCATAGTTCTCCTTTAACTCTCAAAAGCTTGTCTTTTTGGAAAAAAAAAGTTATAGAATTAGTTACTTGCCATACAGAAAATAAAGCGCCAGGCTCTGCTGAAGGGGAAGATCAACCAATCCATTCTCTGATGCTTCCTTCTAGCATTGATCACATGACCGAATGCCTAGACAAGTGGTCAGCACTGACTGGGGTCTGAAAGATCAGTTTCTCTGGTTAAGGCAGACCTTCACCCTCTCCATTTCTACATTTTGTCAGGGAAGGCTCCCTGCATTCTGGCCTAGGCGAAAATTACATACGTGTTCCCCCTATGTGTACCTATATCATGTATCCCAGGAGACCATGGGGTACTCCATGGAGCAGACACTATTACATTTTGTAGGGGGTACTGGTTGTCTTCCTAATTCTTGCAGCTGGCCCCTTGATGTGCCACAAAGCCGGCATTTTATCAGTGGGATGGCTAAATAAACCCGGAATTGACAGTCGGTCCCAAGATCAGGTCAGAGAAGAAGATGGCAGCATAGTTCCTGCAAGACTTTGTCAGTGTCGACAGGCTTTTGCTCCTTTCAGGACTGCTCCTTCCCCATACAAGTATGTGGGAATGCAAAAGCAGCTTGAAATTGCAGGTAAAATGCACCTGAAATTCTGAATGATCTCAGAAGCGTTTCAACTGAGGTCAGAAGCACTCTGCATTTGCCCATCAAGCCCTTATAATAATATAGCTTTATGATAACATTTGCGTATAGGACTACTTTAACAATGATTAATGTAGTCTGGTTGTAACTCCAATTCCAGAACTAGTACAAAAAATGTTAATTATCTTATGAAGCTTTGCCAAAAAATGTTAACTACTTGTTAAGCAATTCTACATTTACAAAAGATGATGTGGCTTCTTTTGCATTTTACTATGCTCAAAATGAAACACAAAATGTGGAACAACATTTTAATAACGCGCAGCGAGATTGCAAAACAAATAGGAGAAATTACATCTCTGTAACCTGAAAGAATCCATATTCTGTTTTGTACATTAGAAATGTATATTAAGGAAGCAGTCCGGGTGTACTCACACTAAACACAGTTAAACTAAACTGTGTCTGAATACGATTGCCCCCTCTTTCACTGGTCTGTGCTCACACTGTTCTCTAAGGAAGCATTCCCGGGCATACACCATCTCTTCTACCAGCCAGACCACCTTGGGCACAGTTTGCAATCACAATGAAGCAAATCGTGCCCCAGACCACCTCTTCCAAGCGGTCCCTGTCACAATATGTTTAAGTGTGTTCGGGCATGGTTACCATTTGCTCATTGATGTTATCTACATATAAGAACTTTATTAACCCCTATGATACATTTCCAGTTATTGTTTGTGAATGGGCATTGTCCCGCATTTTGCTATATCTTTCACTGACCTCTGTATAGGAAATTTTACACATACGTAAGATCATTCATAGTGAGAGAGGAATTGCGGTTAGCAAAAACACGTATGGTGCTGTAGATTATGTATTAAGCACTACAGAGCGACTTGAGAGACTGCTTATGCCTTACCACTTGCTATTAATTTGCTCGAATTGCCAACCTTTACACTAAAGCTTTGTTTGACATGCGTTGTTATGTACTTCAAGGGTGTGTATGTGTGAATGTATCCTTCATTAGTTTATTGAGTTATAGGTTACCATTGGAATATCGGTATGTCTTTGTTGTCTCTATGGGTGCAATTTCCATTTCTTTACACTCCTAAGATTGATTACAGTGCAAAAAGTCCCTTTTTCTTTTACTTACCGCTGCTGAATACTGAGTGGCTATGACTATGCTTTCCAGTGAAGCTGGAGCCCAGCATATGATGGCAATGTACTATTGCCACCTCGGTAACTCTGCAAAGGAAATCCCCATGGTTGTCATGCTGTTTTGTAATACATTGACATTATCTGCACTTGATCTGTTTATGGTTGCTGATAGTAACCTGTTAAAGATAAAAAGAAACTTTCCATAATTTAAAAGCCATGTGTAACTACTGCCTGTGTTATCTTTTATAGTGACTAGATTTCCTCGGCCCATCTCGCCTCTTCAAGATGTAGCCACCATCATTGGTAGTCGTGAGCAGCTGGCTGTACTTCTTCAGCTTTATGATTACCAACTTGAACATGAGGGTACCACAGGATGGGAAACTCTACTTTGGGTTGTGAATCAATTGTAAGTTGGTGTCTTGTTTCCAGATTTTCAAAGCATCAACCATCAGATATATTTTGTATGTTAAATGCATGAATGCTACATATTATAAGTAATGAAAGTGTAACACTTGCAGGTATTTACCACCTCTCACACACCATAATATGTCCCCTGATGATACCTTTTTATATGCTTTTCCTTCTAGAAGGAAAGGGTCATCTTTGTTCAGATACTATCGAGGTTCAGCATCTACTTCCTGGACTAAGATGCTGGCTCAGAGATGACACAAACATTTAAATCCTGGGGCTTGTGCAGTTTTTGGAACTGTTCAGAAATATTTTATACGAATCGGCCCTTGCTGGAGCCTCTTACCTTGTGACTTGCTATGAAGTTATAATGTTGTAGTCTGATCACTATGGGGAGGAAGTGCTTCCCATCGCCTGTAGCATACTGATGACATAGTTTCGGCCTAGGCAAAGTCAAGGACTGCTTTTAAAGCACAACTGCAGGCTCAGCCCCTTGGTGCTCTCCCCAGAATCCTTTCCCCTCTGGTGTATGTATGTTGTTCTTTTATATTTAAATGTATAGTTATCTTTTTCTGATGTCTTCAGGCCAGCCATGACGTGTAGGGGCCTCTTCTTTTAATCTTATTTTGGCATTGGGCTTTTCTGGATAATGCAGGAGTGGCTCATCATTATAATGTGAATGAACAATGCTGTGGTGGCGCTCTCTCAGGGAGAAGGTCCATGATACCTTAGATTCATGGTATTTCCTCAATATTCTGGGTTGATCATTAACTCTGGAAGAGCACATATTGTTGCAAAAAAGTAGTACTGTGGGGAACAGCTTCGGAATGAAGTTGAATATCTCTGAGCTGCTTTTTTATTTTTTGTTCTACTATAATTTTTAAAAAATTGCCCGGAGTTGGGATCTTTTCTGAATAATTATACTATTGCTTAATTTGTGGGGCATGTTAGACATGTATTCATTTAGACTTGTTCCTTTTAAAAGTCTAGTCAAAGAATAGCTATTTGTATTAAATATGATGAAATAAAACACTCAGTAATCTCCATAATAAAAAAACTTACATTGCTTGGCAAGGATCTGAAAGTTTGATACATTCAGAAACCTAACCACTTCCTATTGCACTATCCCATGCGTTTCTCCAAGCGAGATCCTATAAAAGCTATAAATCATTCTGGTAACGTATTTTTTTTTTTTAGATTACCGCAACTTATTGAGATAGTCGGTCGCATTAATGTTGCCTCTACAGCTTGCGTTCATGAGTTCTCGAGGTATTTCTGGCGACTGTGCAGAACATTTGGAAAAATATTTACCAATACAAAGGTAACACTGTGGTCTGTTTTATGCTGGAAATTCTATATCCTGCATGTACATTGCTGTTTTGTGATTTGAAATCTGTATTTACTTTCCTAGTGTTCTTAATCCATAAGAAAACATTGTAATGAGTACCTGTATTTTTAGGTGAAGCCACAGTTCCAGGAAATCTTGAGGCTGTCTGAGGAAAATATTGGTAAGGGTTATTGAATTAAGGCCGTTCTTTATCAACTTTAATTGACAATCTATGTACTTGTGACCGCGTAAGAGAGAATATTAGAGATGGCTCTATAGCTTTATTCACTCAATCTGCCAACATAAATATAGATTGTGGTTATGTTGCTTAATTGAGCTAGTGGTTGTTCTTTGTACATTCCTGTTCCCAATCAGACAATCGGTCTTCTTTAATTTGTTGATTGTGAGTTGGACAGTAAATTTTCTGGTCCATTTGATTAGGGAATAGCAAGCATACCTCTATTGGCTAATTGTAATAAAACAGATGTCAGCAGTGGTTAGAACAGTTTCTCCCCCTTCCTGAAGGGCCACAACAACTTGACATCAGATTCATTGCCTTAAGAAAGCCGTCTGCTTTTGCATGCCAGTGGTAGCCCTAGCTCACCTCCACTAAAACATGTAAATTGCTTCTTTTAAACAAGCTAAAGGAAGGCTGTAAAAAAAAAATAGGCCCCCTGGAGCTTTTAGCCTTAATGTGCTAGTATGCATAGCATATTAGTACATTATGTCAGACTTACCTGCCAAAGCGGTCCCCTCCAGCGATGCACTTCTCCCTCACCGTCATTTCCATTTTCTCCCCGGTTCCGAGTGTCCTGCCGCTTGATTGGCTGGACTCTAATGACAAAAACTCCCACACATGTGCGTGGGAGTTACTTTATTGCAGCATATAGGTTCTGTGCCCTGAGCTGCGCATCTCAGCATATAGAAAAAAAATGCAGAATGGTAAAAAGAAGCTTTCGTGGCAATAGATACTTACACTGTCTCTTCTACCATAAAAAAACCTGCCAATTGGCACTTTTTTTATTTTGCACTTTAGCCGCTTTGGGCTTTGTAATCTGTGCCGAAAAAGACAGAAGACACCTTTTTTTTCAGGGATATGAGGCTCAGCTAACTACTGATCATTTTTGTTTTGGTCACTGATCTTTGGACTTTATACAAGACAGATGAAATCCTGGTTTTCTTTTGAAAAATAAATAAATATGTTGTACTAAAGTTCCCTTTTCTTTATAACTCTGTGGTCTGTATTTATTTTGGAAATAATGCAAGCTTTTACTGGACATGGAGGCAAAATGCTTGATTGTTGCTTCTCTTTTGTTGGTGGGACTGTACCGTACATTGTTCGCATGTGTTGGAACGAAAAAATACAGCATGTAACAACCAGGGTCATTTAAGTGCAAGTTGCTCTACTGTAAAGGTAATTTGGACAAGACTCTTAATGAATAAAATCTATTTAATGAAAACCACTCTGTAGTGCTGTAGACTGGGTCAGCCAGCCAGTGGAATTTCTGAAAGAGGCAATCCAAATATACAGCAGACATGAGTGCACACAACCTGAAGAGGAAGGGCTTTGGCCAGTTTCCTGAACACTTGTGTCTGTTGTTTTTTAGTATAGATGTAGACTCGAGTTATGGTAAAAACTTCTATTGATTCTTGTCAGCAGTCCAAGTTACTGGCTATGTTCTAATACTGTCTGGAAAATTTGAAATGTTGCGTTATTTTATACGCTGAAAGATTTGCCAGTTGGGTGGATCTGCGCTGCAGCAATGTTCACATTTGGAAGTTGGTCTTCACTGCACATGGTATTATATTGCAGGTTCGGAAAGTTTTAAAAATGTTCTAGTGATATGATTTTCAAGGTTTAATGCAGTGACCTGGCAAACCTAATTTGTGTTTGGTGCGGCTGATGAATTGAAGGCATTCAGGTACCTGAAACCAGCTAATGCTGTTCTGAAATCAAATGCAATAACAGAACTGCAAAAGAAAAGTAAAATGTGCAGTGTATAGTTGTGTATGAATGCTGACTGGGCCAGTGCCTCGCAGTCTATACATGATGACCATTTTAATCATAGGATTGTTTTTATTTGGGCAGTTTTAGGCAGGAAAGAAGTAGACATCTATTCCTTCAATAATTGCAATCTTTTAAAAAATTCTGCAGTAATAGGGATTACTTTGCTAAGCAGAGTTTCCTTCTATCAGTAGGGCGATGCTCTTATTAGCCGTTTGTCTTTTCTGCTACTGCTGCTTAAAGCGTATCTAAACCCTAAAACTATTTAATTTATTTTCGCTTACCATTCCTTAGGTGTAGTGGCTGCATTTGTTTTCTTTCTTGTTTTGAGGTTTTCTTCTTTATTTTCATCTGATGATCTGGCTAGTAACACACTTACTTTCTTTCTCAGCGTGGCTCCATTCCATGGAGGAGCAATTAAGCCACCCTTGGACAGCTGCATTGTTACCCTCTGGAGAGGGTAGTGTTGGATGCACTGGCAGATTTAGATATACTTGATTTAATAAATTAATTCTGAACTCCAGCTATTAAGCAGTTACAGCAATTTATTTTTTTTGGTATAAAGGTTTTATATAAATAAAACCTATCCATTGTAAGCACTCCTGTCAGTGATAAATAGTTTGTCTCAACCCTCTATTTGCCACTTTTGCTAGACAGCTTGGACTATAATGGAAGTTAAAAAAAAATCACAGACTTACTGTCTTGATTACCAGGGGAAAATACCTAAAAAAGAAAACTAATGCAGCCACCACATCTAAGAATTGGTAAGCTACAATATATAAGCTTTAAATTTGACCTCCAGTTAGAATTTATCAAAACATACTTATATAATTAGTAAAACTATCAGAGTCTTTATATTCTCATTATCAAAACTTTGGGTCATACTGGAAGAAGAAATAGAAGAGCTTTACTACATCACACAGGGCTATCAGAACATAGAAAGTCTCTTACTCACAATTCTGTCTGTGTTGCGATGCACAACAACCAAAAATGAGCATTTTTTGGGGAACAAAATAATTGACTGGTTGAAAACTGGTCTATTGTTATTTTCCCTGCACATGGCTCCCTCTCCCTCCACTATTGCCCTAAACAGGACCTGTGTAAGGACCTCTCAATGCCCCCTCTCCATGTACAGATACCTAATGCTGGCTATTGATGGCTCAGGGGCTGAGGGCCTGTTCACATGATTTTCAGGTCCTGATCAGGTGCGGATCTGCAGATGCGGTGCTATGTGTTTTGCCGCGTTTTTGATGCGTTCCAGTTGGAAAAAAAGAAAAACATTTTTTTTTTGCTGGAGTGGGGCTGTCAGTATGTTAGCTGCAGTGCAGTGCGTTTTTGACGCGTTTTGCGTTTCCGGACCGTTTTCTGACTGTACAAAATGTGACATGCAGTAGTTTTCTGAACGGACTGCGCACGTGAGAACTGTAGCCCATAAAACACATACGGATACATTGGGATGCATTTTTAGTGCAGGAGCGTACGGATCAGGTCAGCACAGTAAACGGACGTTGTGTGAACAGGCCCTAAATGAGGGAAATCTATTGGTTTCCCCTGTTCACGTAGGAGGATTCACTGACAACTGCTTGAATACCCAAACAGTGACTGCATCTGAAACTGCGCTCTTCAGTTGATAATTTTTAACAAGGCTCAATTGGCTTTTGTTAAGCCAGGTTGTGATTGCAGGGCCGCCTAAAGCTTGAACTTCTGATTCCTACTGAATTGGCCAAGATTCAAGCCAGCTTTACTCACATTAGTGTGACCTTATGCTAAAGTGTAGAGCCTGACTGGTTTACAACAATTGTAGTCCCACTTTTTTCGATTTTTGTTGTGTGCAGGATTATTGGAAGTTTATATAACGATACATAACGGGCAGATTGACCTAGTAGTACCTAAAGATGTTCAATGGGTTTTTTAATAAATGCATAGCTGTGCCAAAGGGTGAACTTTTACATTTGCCACAAATTAAATAAACAGCATAAAAACTACACTTTCATAGAAAAAAAAAACATTTTCAGTGGAAATGCTTTCTTTTTGGAAATTTTAAGGCCCATTTTCCTTGGAATGTCTCATTCTTATGTAGAATTTTTGTTCCAGACTCTACAGCGGGAAATGGTGTCCTGACAAAAGCCACTGTCCCAATTTATGCAACTGGAGTTCTAACATGTTACAATCAGGTATGCCATCCACTTCTCTTAAGTACAGTATGGGTGCGACTTAAATATGACCATATTTTAGAATGTGTGTGGTTTATTCAAGCATCTAAAAAAAATTCTGTAACCATAAGTGCAACCTTGAACTTGTGTAAGTATAACAATCTTATGCAAAATAAATATTCCTGGTTCTGTATAGGAAGAAGATCGCAAGCTGCTAGTTGGCTTCCTTGAAGATGTGATGACCATGCTCTCATTATCTCATGCACCACTGGATAGTTTAAAAGCCTCTTTTGTGGAACTGGGGTAAGCAAAGTCCTCATATATTTTATACCTACATGATTATAATGTACATTAGAGCGAGGTTACTGGCTATCTAAAAACTGGCAGAAAAGTACAGGTCATCTTGTGCCAAAGTACTCTGCCTGGCCAAAAAAAGTCACCACCTGGATTTAGCTAAGCAAATAGGTCAGAGCATTCCATTGAAAAAGTGTTATGATCTGGGGTTGCTTCAGTTGGTCAGGTTTAGGGTCAGCAATATTCTGTCCCCAAAAAATGAGGTCAGCTGCCTACCTGAATATACAGAATGACCAGGTTTTTCCATCAATGGATTTTTTTCTTCCCAGATGGCATGGACATATTCCGAGATGACAATGCCAGGATTCATTGGGCTCAAATTGTGAAAGGGTGGTTCAGGGAACATGATACATCATTTTCACTCATGGATTGGCCACCACAGATTCCAGACCTTAACCCAATTGAGAATATTTGGAATGTGCTGGCAAAGACTTTACCCAGTGGTCCTACTTCTCCCATCATCACTACAAGATCTTGGTGAAAAATGAATGCAACTCTGGAAGGGAATAAATGTGATATTGCGTAAGCTTGTGAAAACTATGCCACGGTGAATGCGTGCCGTAATCAAACCTAAAAGCGGTCTAAAGAAATATTAGAGTGTGTGACTTTTTTAGGCCAGGCAGTTTATATGTACAGAGAATGGTTGTGTTTCTTCTTATGTCTGCTGTGTATTTTGTTATGGAATACCTGGTGGGGCAGATTCTGTAAATGGAAAGAAATAGTGTAGAGGTTCAATATTGAAGAGTTGGGGAGATGCAGTATCAGAAGGGACTGGTGTGTATCTGCAATGGTGTACCCGTTATACAGGTATTGTCTTTCTATAGTAAAAAAAGTGTGTTAACAGTGTCAGACATGTAATAGTAAGGAAATAAAATTTTGACTAACTGTATTTCAACTTTTATTAAAGTGTATCTAAACTTTTTATTAGTTTGGGATAGAATCGGGAAAGGTCAGAACCCCTGTCGGGTTTCACTTCTATCCGGAGCTCTGTTGGAGAGATTTCCCCTCACTATCTATTCTGGGGGCAACCTTTTACAATGAAGTTTAGGAAACTATCGAACGGAGTATCCGACAGCGTTAATACCTGACAGGAGTTCTAATCAGCAAAAAGATGACCTTTTAAAGCTGACCTCTAAGAAGATAATAGAACTACACTTTGTTCCAGTTGTGTATTTATTTTGAAATACAACTAGTATAATTATGCAAATTTGCCTCTATTACATTTTTGTTTACCAGGACTAAAACTGGTAGAGAGGAAAGCAGTATTATTAGCGAGTCAGGCTCCACTGTTGTGCAGTGCTTTCCATTTTCCACTGGAAGCTTTCTGATAGGAGGATGGAGCATAATGATGAAGCCATCAGTTTGGTGATGTTTCATCATTGTTCAATAAGCAGGCTGCAGGCAAATCAGAAACCAAGCTGTAATGCTTGGCTGCAGTCAATTACCATGAGGTCGCTGATCTGGCTGTGCTGTCAAGGGTGCCTTGATCACATATTTGACCAAACAGAGTAAGAAATCTTTTCACAATTATATATTTCAACTGTGTATTTAGCTTGCGCTGAGTTCAGCTTTAAGATCCTAGTTAATAATTACATTGTGTCTGTTATACATGTTTACTTTTGTCATAAATTGCATATGTACAGTGTATAGCATTCACTACATACTGGTAGTGATTCCATCTCAAGCAGGAAATAATCATGTTTAATTTCACATTTCTGTAAATTACTGAAACCAGTTTTATGAGAGCTGGCAAAGGTAACAGTCCCATGGTCCAACAATGAAACGACCACGCCCAGGTCAATGGTAATAAAACATTACATAACATGCTAACGCAATGTTCAACGAAATATCATCACACGTCTCTAAGTTCTGTGCATGTGTAGACTATAAATAACGGCAGAAACTTCTTAAAACAGAAGATTTCTGGGCTAACTTGGCATTACGTTTATAGATGCAGTTTTTGCATGAATAGCTCTATAATATCAGGCTGTATCTGTACTGTAAACCAGGGCTACTCGGAGACACAGTTGGCCCATTCGCATGACAGAAAGATTTGTATGATCCCATCCCACTATCCTTAAATAAGGCTTAAATGAACCCTTTGTTTTCTGGATTGTTAATGGGATAGGTAAGGTTGTTGTTATATACAGTATTCTGTTAAAAATAAGCTCTGCTATTCTTCACAGTGGACTAGTAGAGGGCTGTTTGGTTGCTTTACAGGGAACCTGTACTTTGCTTGTGCAGAAAGCAACAGATTCACTTTAACCACTACTTGCAGGCCAGGTGTTTACACCCCCTTCCTGGCCAGGCCATTTTTCAGTATTCAGCGCTGCAGTACTTTGACTGACATTTATTCAGTCATGCAATGCTTTACTGAAATTCATTTTATACCATTTTTGGGGGGGACAGATAGAGCTTTCTTTTGGTGGTATTTATTCACCACCGTGGTTTTTATTTTTTACTATATTAAGGAAAACATTTATTACCCAATTTTTTGGGTAAAATATATAAGACTGGGTCAAGTCAGGTAAATAGACACCAAAGATGTCAAGCTTTAAAATTGCACGCACCCGCGAAATCGCAAAAAACTACCATACCCAAAACTGACCATAGGCGACGCTTTAAAAGCTTTTACCGCTCATTAGTTTAGTGTCATCAGTGTCATAATTGGGGACACCGTAAACATACTATGTCCTAAATTATTTACAAGCAGTCAGTGATCAGCTGATCGTGACTGCTTTTAACTGCTCTCCATCCTGACATCTGACTTCTCCCTCACACCACCACCTCTGCCTCCTGTGACAGCTCTCAGCTGTCTACTCCCCCACACCGCTCTTCCTCCTGATCTGTCACAGGAGCCCAAGTGGGGCGGTGCGGGAGAAGAGCTCGGCCACCTGTGACACGCCACTCACTGCACACTCCGTCCGGCACCGCTAGGCATCCTGACAGTTTCTCTCCTCCCTGCTGGACGCTGCTCTGTCTCCGAGGGGACACAGTGCAGTGCCCAGCGAGGAGGAGAGAAATCACGGATGCACCACAATTTCGGCCGAAAGATGGTAATTTCCGCATTTTGCCCAAAATACAATTTACGATATTTTTGGGTGGCTGAAATATCGGTGCATTCCTACTTATTACCCTGTATTTCATCTGTGCATTTAGCCATTTCCCTGGAGTTCAACTTTAAGCCCACCCCACCATAACCTGTCTATACTTTCATGATTTGGCATGTAAAGGAGCTCCGAGTAATAATTTGCTAGCTGATGAGGGGTGGTTTTATGTGCAAACATAGATTTATGTTCAAATATTGCGTTTATCAAAAGAATCGAAGAAACATTCAACTTCATTTGCTGGGTAATTTTTCTCCACCTGCGCTAACATGATACATTTAAGCAAAGTTTTTAAAATTTATATTGTTAAATATTAAAACCTGCCTGACAAAGTTTTTTTATGTTTTTTTATAGACTGCATACCATACAATTTATTTGTGGTGTATAAAAATAGTGACAACCTGCAGGCTAAACGAAGAGAATATAACCAATTCCTCCATCAATGCTTACAAGCGTAGATGGAGGAATCCCCTGCTGTTTTTATTGCATTCTGGCAGCGTCCGCTGTCAGACTATCCGAATGGAGCTTGCAGCTGATTGGCTGTTTTCTGACCACCTCCTTCGATCAGCTGATCAAGGGGTGCCAACAGCAGCACCCACTGTGCAAATTTCGGTCAGTTCATCAAGAACCATCCGAAATGCACACCGTGTATAGCCTACTGTAGGCCATGTTAAAAGTTGTTTTTGGTTGTTTTTTTTTTTTTTCCCTCTCTAGGACTAACCCTGCCTACCATGAGCTGCTACTGACTGTGCTTTGGTATGGTGTTGTTCACACATCAGCACTTGTCAGGTGTACTGCTGCAAGAATGTTTGAGGTTAGTAATACTATTTATGAGAAAATGAAGCACAAATGTCTGTTCATGTTTGTTTATTATCACTGCGCGTGTGCTGTGTGATGGAGCAGAAAGATTATGTATACAACTCTTCAAGATCTGCATGCTTTTGGTGTCTGGAGCTCCCTGCTTGTATTTCATGGCGTTCTTATGCGTTGAAGTCTTTATTTGTTCTGTAGATTTGGATAGTCATATGAGTGGAGTGTAATTTATAATCTGTTTGCCAGTCTTGTGTTTCTCTAATTACTGCCTTGTAATTCTGACCATCATCTGAAAGTATGAATACTTTTATCTGACCCGATGACAGTACTGTACTTAAAAGAGAACTATGGGGTAACCTTTTATCCCATATTTCTCTTTAGGGTCACGGAAGGGCATATACTAAATTCCTCCCGTGACCCAAAGCTCAGTATGTTGCGGGCTATTGCCTGAGATATACTGAGAGTGCCGCAGCCAAGACGGATCCTGACAATAGTGTCAAGATCCACCCAGCTGGTTGATTGACAGCGGACTCTGCTTATCTAGAGACCGAGCCAGCTGTGCCCGCCTCCTCCCTGTCTTTTTCTCCAGCCAGTGCTGGAGGCGGGGAATCCCTGCAGGGAGCGGTGACGGACAGTCACCATTCTCTGCAGGGAGATGATCGGGAAGTGAGCGATCAGAATTTCAGAATTCATATCCGGCGCAGTTGACCTGCATTTGTCCTACATTTGACCTGCTTTTGCATTCTCGTAGACTTGCATGGGGAGAGAAGCAGTTCTGAAGTGAACAATGGCCTGTCGAAACAGACTAATGTTGGTGTATTTATTTATTTGTACTCTTGGGGTTTTCTCCCACCATGTAGAACGTATTCTATATTTTGGCGAGACAAATATGGTGGTCTTCTATGACCCAGCTGATCAGGATCTGGGGTCAATTAATAACGAAGGCAGAGGCTAGAGTTACATTATGATCACAATGTATTTATTTGTGCATTTTAATTTGGCTTTGCTTGAATACTGCACTAGAAAATGACAGAAAGTGGCTGTATTTAGAAGGGTTTTCCTCTTTGTGTATATTCTGTGCTGTGCTGTGCACTGTTACAGGTGTCAGGAGTGACAATTTGGGCAAATAGAAACCTTCAAAATGCTGCCTTTGTGCTTTACACTTCAGTGATATTGCAGATTTAACTAGGGGATAAGAAGGGACTTTCCAGAGTACCTGTTCTGTAGGGCAGGTTAACCAGGTGTTTCAGTGGCATTCTTAATGAGAATTGTATGGGCCGCTGAGAAAACTGAAAGAATTTCAACTGTCTCTGTGCTTTTCTATGCACTTTGGCTTCATTTGCTTTAGGGCTTGTTCACACCAAGCGCGGAGCAGATCCAGAGCAGGTGCAGACCGGATCAAAACTGCGTCCAATGGTATTTTTTGCTCCAGTTCACATCGCAGCGTGCAGTTGCAGAGCAGATCCAGAGCAAGTGAAAAAACTGCAGCAGGCCCTATTTTTTACCTGCTCTGGAACGCATGAAAAATGCATGCCAATGCCTGGAACACATTGGAAACCCATTTTAAACTTTAAAAAAAAAATGTATTTTTTTACCAAAAAGAGCCCGGAACGCGCCAAAAACGCGTGTAAAAGACTAGTGTGCGTGTGCAGAAACCTGACTGGATCTGCTCTGCATTTGGTGTGATCAAGGCCTAAGGGTTTTTTTTTCTGTGGACATGTGCTAGCTACTTTTTATTTCTTGAACTGGACCAGATCTGTTGTACATGCAAATGTTGAGTCTAATCAAATACAGTCCCTGAATTTGGGACATCACTGCTGATGCACATTCTCACTGTATGTGGTCTGCTGCAAGATTATTTTATATGAAGACAACATTAAAGGGAACATGTATGGCTGTTTAAGCCTGGTGGATGTGTATTCTTTTATGCACAGAACAGAATCATTTTTGGCCACTGACCTTCTCAGAGAGCAGAGTTTTGGGATAAGAATTATAGAGATGCAACTGAAAGATAGGAAGGAGGGTGAGTTTTTGGATGTTTTCCTGCATGAGACTCTACAGTGAGAGACAAGAAAGATGACTCCGTGTTGTAGCTGTGCATAAGGGTGTAGAAAAAGGTAACCGGGATTGATGGTGATACATGGATGACCACAATTGTAGAAACTCAGATCTAATCGTAATTAGATGGATGTCTCAATGGACAGCCAGCTTAAGAAACATTGGCAACCATTGCTAGATTGGTTAGGGAATGCTTTTTATTAAAAAATTGTCCCATACCACTGGTTTCCTAACCCCGAACCGACCCCCACAGATCACATGCACCTAAACCTGGCAGACTGCTGCCCCTGACTAGACAGAGAAATATCTAGGTCTGTGAGGTACTCGGCATTGACTTAGGACAACAGAGAGCATGGTGCCATTGGTCAGTATGCATACTTCGAGCAGAGGAGACCACAGTAAGTGGCAGCTTAAAGTAAACCTGTCATGAGAGAAGGCTGCCATTCCGGACCTTCTTCTGCATTGCTGTTTCTGGCTTTATTAATTTTGTGAGTCAGTGACCTTGTACAGGTATTCAGCAAGTCAGACCACATTGGTTTTGCTGTCAGCCTGTTTAAAACACCTATCCATCTACAGCTGTCAGTTTAAACATGGTGACCGGACTATAATGGTATACCCACCAACTTATGAAGTGGCATTTTTCACAGCAGTGGTCTAATGATCTCACATGCAGATACATTTGTTTTCTTATGAGTGACAGTTGGTAGGTTTGGCATTATAGATGCCCATTGGTTACTGCCTAGAGTAAAATGCTTACCAGGAAATGAATTCTAAAATACTGAGTAGTGCTTGTTTTATTGGCACTCATCCCAAGTAAAAGTGCAGACTGCTGATAACTTTTTTTTCTGCACTAGGTTATACAGTTTACTGTTGCTCAACTTTTGCTAAATGGATATGTTATCTATGTATGCACTCGCTGTGTTTCACATAGCTATAATGTGACACTAATGGGAATAAAACAAAAAAAGGTTGCTTTAGGCATATTCTTAAAAGAAGAATCAATTCTATTTCTAGTTTTTATGGTTCATGAATTATCATTTTCCTGCAAAGGTTAAAATGGGGTTGCTGTGAATCTATACAGATGGTTCTAATTTCATATACTGAAATAATTGCTCTTAGTGCATGTCCTCCTTGTTTCTTGCTAGGGCTGTTTTGCAAGACAAGCGCACACTGTCGGGATGAGAAAGAATTCAGTTTTTTTTTTAAAGGATAATTATGGGGAGAGTGAAATACACTCATCCCCATAACTGGAGCCAACGTGTGACACTGCAGCTGTCACGTTGGCTCTATTGATCTGGAACTCTGCGATCACAAACCGCTGATCGCTCAGTTCCTGATCTTCTCCCTGCTGAGAGCGGTGACTGTCAGTCCCTACTCCCCACAGGGATTTATCCCCTCTCTGTTCCTACAGAGCTGACTGGAGGAGGGGACGGGGGCGGGCACTGCTGGCTCTGCCTCTAGGGGGGCAGGGCCAGCTGTCAATCAGGCAGAGGGGTGGATCCTGACAATATTGTCAGAAACGGTCCTGGCTGCAGCATGGCTCTGCGCGGTCAGCGGGCAATAGGCCACTATATGCTGAGTTTTGGGTCACAGGAGGACTTTAGTATATGTCCTCCTGTGACCCCAAAGAGAACTATGGCAAAACAAAGTTTGGACCATTGTTCTCTTTTAAAGTGGATTATCTTTTGTAGTGGGTTTTCCCCTGCACTGCAAGGGTTACCTGTAAAGGTCTTGCCTGATTCCACTCCCCATGCAGTTGGTGCTCACCTCGTCCCTCCTGTTCTCCGCCTTCTGGACTGTCCCCACAGCTCAGAGGGAAAGAGACCGGTGTTGGAGCACATTAGGTTTACATGGGTACCCTAGACCTAAATGAGTAGTTAACCCTTGCAGTGTAAGGGCTGCCTCACTGCAAAGGGAATATTTGTAAGCTTATAAGATCAAACTTCTAAAACTAATTACAACAGCTTGATCAAGTCCCAATTAAATGTTTCAATGAAGTCAATTCTAAATAGGAAGAAAGAAGTATGGAATAGAGTACAGTCATTGTCATTGTGATGGTTATAATCAAACCATAAAATATAATGACATCGGCAGATCTTTTGTTCAGTCTTGCAACCTTTGGAGTAATAAAATCTGCTCTCAGGAACCAGCGTAGCTCTGCTTGTGTTGGAAAAGATTAAATAAAAATGTTTTGACCTTCTTAATGACAGCCCAGTATTACTAGCAGACATGTCAGTTCCGTAAATGTTGATATGCCGTGCATTTTGTGCTGCACTAATCACGGTCACCTGTCAAACAATAACTGCTGCCATTGTACTGTACCTATTTAGTGTGTAAGTGAAATGTCTGATCTTGAAGAATATGTACATGATCTTAAATGTGTTTTTATTCATATTTAGTCATTTTAAGTTATCTTTTTATTCAAGCATGTTTGGTATTCCAAAATGTGACTTTTAAGGCTGATCTGTTACACTGCAGTATAGTATTAGAAATGCACCAGTTCTTTTGCTGCTTTCTTTGCCTATATAAGCCTTAGCTTGCAAGTAGTGAGTAGCTTCTAATCCATGTTTTGCATTTTGTATTTCTTCCCCTTTCTCTGGCTCTTTTGTTCTTCTGCCTCCCATGACACTTCCCTCTCTCCTGTGCACCACGTCATGGCTCCCCTTTGTTCCGACCAATCAGCTTTTGGTGAAGGGGGTGAATGAGACTTTGGTTGCTCAGAGAGTTGTCCCTGCTCTCATCACTCTCTCCAGCGATCCTGAAATGTAAGTTTCTAAGCTGCTTTTTACAGTAAGCATCCTGATTTGTTGGAAATGCCCATCAGTTTACAGAATGTTATCACCTTACTGGACACAAATTTGACTTTAATTCGGGAATGACATGACTGAGCTTTTTTAAGAGGTTTCTTTTTGTAAGGATTCCCTCTCCTCTGTGGTAGTACTGCTGGCACAAAAAAAAAACTTATGTGGCATGTCTAAAAGAATGATGCTTAATTTTTTGACTAACCCTTTTTATTAAACTAATTTGCTGCATGCTGTGTATACTATTTCCCATTTCTCTGCATGTTACACTGGATTATTTAAATCGAAGAAAACCAGTTCTATTATCTGCCCATCCACAGTCACGGCTAACAATAGTCTTATTACCCATTTACCAAACAATTTTTTATTGCATGTTGACTGGTTACAGCTAATTCTCCGAGGCATGCGGGAATCCTTAGTTGACAAGCGAGTTGCTCCGGCCCTTGTTACCTTGTCCAGTGACCCAGAATTGTGAGTTTCAATGACTGTCTCAAAATAATTTTCCTCTTTTGAGACTTTGCTGCCCATTTATTCTCTAAAGATCACTCAGTTTAAAATTAATATTCTTCGAGTTGTATTTTTAACATCTTCTATAAATCTCCAAACAACACCAAATCTTTTACAGCTCTGTACGGATTGCCACAATCCCAGCCTTTGGTACCATCATGGAGACTGTTACGCAGAGAGAGGTACGTTTTCTCTAAGATTAACCAAATGTGAATTTGTAGAACATGTCAGATTAGCAAACACATACATTTAAATTGAAACAGATGGGGCAGCTTTTTTTTTGTAAAAAGAGAACTATGGCCAAACCTTCTTTTTTTAGTGGTTAAAGGAGTACATTTACTAATATACTCCTGTGAACCAAAGTCAGCCTTTAGTGGGTTACTGTCCACTATTTGCTGACCGTGCAGAGCTGCTGTGCAGCAGGGAAAGATCCAAACAATATTGTCGGGTTCCACTCTGCTGCCTGATTGACAGACTGCTCTGCCTCTCTAGAGCCATAGCCAGGTGTGCCCGCCCCCTCCCCTATTTGTCCCTCCAATGAGCATTGGAGGAACAGATGGGGAAGGAGGGAGATCCCTGCGGTGAGCAATGACTGACAGCGCTCTTTGCAGGCGAAAGACCGTAAGCTTGAATGATCAGTGGTTTGTGATCGCTCAAGCTGTCGCTCTATTGAGCCGAACCTGCAGTGTCATGCCGGCTAATTTTACTCTCCCAATACTACTCCTTTTGAAGCTTTAACTCACCCTGGTACACTTTCAGTAAAGAATACAGGCTTTAGTTTGTGATGGGTTGTGACAGTCTACTGTACAGTATTTTATTAAATATTTGATCCCATTTTATTTAAACTTTAAATCAGCAAATTAAGACCTGACATTAGGAATAGTTTGTTGTAGGCTATGTGTATGTTGCCCTTTGCTGACATGATCAGTGGTTGTGTACACAATCCAAAATTGGCTTTGGTTGAAAGCTGTAAATGAATAAGTTGGTGGATATGAATGTATTATCCTCTGCTGACTAAAAAGCGCACTACAGTAACATTCAGATAGAACAGCCTACCTGCTGAGTAATTCAGCTTTCATCCAGGTATTGCTGTGCTGCATCACTCAACCACATTCCCTTTTCTGAAATCTGGGGATTTGAGTACCCCTGCTTGTGATGTAGAAGAGGTATTCCTAAACACACCCACTGCAGACTTATTGCTGTCTCATTCATACTGTGTAAGATGTGACACTGATACGAGTAAAGTGTGACATCACAAAGTATTATGGCTATGTATTGTATAGTTACATTTTAACTAGAGAGCAGGGAGTTTTCAAGAAAGATGTAGAGCATACTCTTTATATGCATGTAATAAAATATTACTTAAAGTGGAAGTTAAGTTAAAAGTCTCTTCTGCCCAAAAAGTTATTTCACTCTCCCCCAGTGATTTTATTTTTTGTGTACGCTATACAGTGCTTGCACTGTGCAGTGCATACACTCAGCTCATTCACGGCATCTTAGATGCTTTAAATGGGCAGGATGGTGGGGAGGATGTGCGCTTGTGCAGGAGTTACATCATCGCTGGCCACCCAATGTCTGAAGAGGATTCCCACAGAACCCAGAAGTGGTGCCAATGTCGGAGGGAAGGAGCAGCGGACCGAGGATTCATCACAAGTGTGCCATAATGTGCAAGTATGTGGTGCATACTTGCGCATTATGGCAAGACCCCACACAGGACACAGTAGTTCTAGTTTAACGCTTTTGTATACTATACAGTTACATTTGAAGCATTTTGAATGAATCCTTTGTCCATAGCACAGCTCCTAGGTGAGCATGTTTCTTTAGGATCAGTCATGAGTCTACTTAGAGGGGTTATCAAATTCAGAGAGAACCATTTCTGAACAGCCAAAAAACAGTAGCAGTATAAGCCACTTCTAGGCTACATGGTTTTCAGTCAGTCTGTGCAGACTGGGATTGATAGAAAAGAGCAGAAAACCACAATCCGCTTGTAAATCCTGAAATCGGAGCTGTGAGAGGTCCTGTCAGTGCCACTCCATTCAACAGAAGTTGATTTTTCATTTGACTTTTATTAAAGGAGCCAGGCTGAAAATTGTTGACCGAAAAGTGACTACAGCCAATAAGCTCCAGTCACTGTTTGGGTATTCTGACAGCTCTGGGTGTTGATTGTTAGAATGCAATAGCCAGCAGGGGTGATTCCCTCATCCATGCTAAAGAGCGTGAATGTGGAAATCAAGTGTGGGCTGAACAAAAAAAAAGTATCTGGCCAGCAATTGGTATAATATGGTAAGTATATGGTCTGCAATTGTGACTGTTCCCTGGCCTCTAGTTTTCTTCATTTATGTTCCTTTCACATTTAAAGTAACTGGTGACTTAGATTTCATAAGACTTCTAGTTTCAGGAACCAGCAGTAACATGATCTTCAGAAGTCACGGATATGTTTCATAGAGAGGTTGTTAAACATAAATATGAGGAACAGAAGTCTGGCTGTAAGCTGTCGTAAAAAGTCTTCACGCACATGCCAGACATTGCACACACAGCTGATTTTGGACACCTACCTGTACAGTCATTGCTCGGTATCCCTGAACACCACCTAACAAAAATTAAATAGTCAATGTCCTTGCAACCACTTTACATGTTTGCTGCCTTCCCAGAGTGATTGCATAAAATACAGTTTAGGTGGTCACTGGTAGTAGAATGATGTGTTCTCTTGTTTGTTGTATTGCTGCTTATTGGGAGGACAAAGGCCTTAATGTAAGGACAAAAGGAGCAAGCAAAGACTATTGGCAATGGGTTTTTTTTTTCTAGTCTTATCATGCAAGCTTGTGTTTGCTCATTCTTGCAAATAACACCATTGGATTCCTTCCAGATGTTCTGTGTGTAATTGCTAAGGTTTCTCTGGTGAAGCAGCCAAGTTCTTAAGAGGTCTCTCGGGCAGCCAGTGGTTCTCTATTGTGTAAGGGTTATCTTTAGTTTGGAAGGACATTTTCATTAGGGTTGTCACTTCCAGTGCACCAGAACACAAACCAATAAATAAAACACAGGTGAAAGAACAAATGGTGAAACTGCATTCTGTGTTTGAGTTGGAATTACTAGACCATGTCTTGTGAAACTGATGATTCCCTTTACATCCCTAATATGTGGTCCTGCTGCACTGTGTAAAGTCCGTTGTTGTAAATACTTCTGACAATATGCTGGGTATAACTCTTAGCCAAGGCAGAATGATTTGTAAGCAGTGTGTTACTGATTTCCCACCATTGCTTCTTCTATAGTTATTAGAGAGAGTGAAAATGCAACTGGCTTCATTCCTTGAAGACCCTCAGTATCAAGATCAGCACTCCATGCAGACAGAAATTATAAGGACGTTCGGTAGAGTGGGACCTAATGCAGAGCCAAGGTTCAGAGATGAATGTAAGTGACAGTTTCTTCACATTAGATTTGTACCGCATGACAAAGTGCAGCTGAGAGCACCATAAGGCAGTAATTCATTAGGGCTGGCCTTGTGGCCTCTGTGCTTTCTATGTGCTTATATTCCTTGGCCCATGTGCAGGGAGCTTTATGCTGTTAGTAGTATAAGTATTCAAGAGTAAATTATTTAATGACCAACAAGATAACCGTAACTTTCTTTATTCTAGTCGTTCTTCCTAATTTGCACAAGTTAGCCTTGGTCAACAATCAACAGTCAGTGGATTCCAAGAGACTTGACATTGCAACAAACCTGTTTGAAGCTTACAGTGCGCTTTCCTGCTGTTGTATCCTTTTCATCTGACTGACACCGTATTGTAGAAATATTTAATAGAATTATAGGAATCTTTGTTTTGAACATGTTTCCTGTAAATCATGGGTATATTTTGCTTGTTTTATTTACTGACTGAATTTAATTTAATCTAGGCTGTGCATTCAAGCATACAGTAGCTTGGCTACAGTAGCTTGGTAGTTTGTAGTTGTACTTCCTTTTACCTGCACTCAGTTTGCTGTATATAAAACAAATACAGTGTATGGTCTTGTATTTTTGTATGATTGGGCTATGTTATTATTCTGCAGGATTACAGGATTAACCATGGTTTTCTGCAAGCGTACAGCTTGCACATAAGGTTTAATATATAAATATAGATATATCTATATAGATATATCTATATAGATATATCTATATAT